ATATATCTGAGGGGCACACACAATAGCTATGTCTATATCTCTCTCTATACATATATAAAGAGAGAGAGATGTGTAAAAACATAGCTATTGTGTGTGCCCCTCATAAATGTTCATGTTATTCAAATAGCCAGCTTCAATTCAGACAATTAACTCCACCATTTCAGTAATATTAATCTTAGGTTGTTTGTCACACTGCATTACGGATCAGCTACCGAAGGAGGCAGACACACCCTACAAGAACAGCAGCTACCATACTGGTGTCTGGGGTGTTCTACCTTCAATACGGTGCCAACTGAGGCTATTCTCTATTCTGACTTTACAGGTATGTTTTGACCAGTGAACACACGTTTAAGGTACAATCTGTTGTGTAGACAGCTTGTTATACCTTAATTATTTCTATTTCTCCAAGCAGGTGTTGCGATAAAGAAACTGGCGTTTTGTCACGTTTGGTCTGGATAAAAAGCTACCAGAGAAGCCATCAGAAAATGTTTAACAGGTTTTTGATCTCTTTATATGCTTGCAGCTCTGAGCTTAACTTTTCTCTAAGGGGTGGGGGAAGCTGCACCCTGATATTTTTATTTGGTGATGTCCTACGCAGATTCGCCAGAACAAGAAACAAGAAAAGCTTTTTAAAAAGCTGACCGGAGCGCACATTGCGCATAAGAGCAGATACAAAATTGTGTTAGCAGTGACGTAATGCACTGCGCTACTTGTATGTATATGACAATATGAATGTGAATCAGTGTTGCAGTCATCGTATTTAAGTGCCGTCAATTAACCTGTCACCTCTACTCCCCAATGGGATAGCTCAAGCTATCCAGTTCATATGCAAATGATCCAACGCATGGCATAGCATCGCATAGCATGGTTTGTGACAATGCATGGCCCAAGAAACCTACCAAGCTGACTGAGTGATTGATTGAAAAAAGACCGTGGCATTAAACCAGGCACAAAGCCGGGGCGCGCCTCGGCAAAAATGACCATATATAAGGCACCTTGCCAGGCCACAGTCTTTCTTGCCTGTTGTAAGTAAAGTTTATCTTCCAAAAGACTTTAGACAATGGGCTTGTATCCACTGCCACAGCTTATTTGTCTACACCCAACAGGAATTGGTTTATTGGTTTAAAACTCTCCTTCAGCTGCCCACCCGAGGGTGACAGCTGTTCTTCCAGGAGAGAGTATACACATAAACGTAACAAACATCAAACATGTACATATATACATCATCATACACAGCATATATACAATTAATATTCAATCTTAATTTACTGACAATTCTATAAAGCTTGTTTCAGTCTGTCTCTGATAAGAGTGTTAAATCTGGTATGTTCTGACAACCTGACGTGACATGGAAGTGTGTTGTGCAGTTTTGACCATCTGTAGAGGAAAGGTTTAGTAGCTGCCGATGTTCTTGGCTTTGGAAGCTTAAAATTATTCTTTGCTGCATATCTCGTGCTGTAACCGTGCTGGTTAGATACAAACTGTAGTTTACGGTAAAGTGTTGTTGGTTGCTTATAGAAAAGCAACTTGTGGAAGGTACACATGTTGTTAACATGGAGTCTTTCACTAACAGTAAGCCAGGAACTTTTATACATCCGCATTATGCAGGCAAGACTGGGAAACAAAGTCCTATTATTAACAAAGTCATATCAAGTTGTACCCTTTATAGCAATGAACGAAATGAACTCTTTGACGTAGCCTCCAAATTCTACCCAAACTTTCACACATATACAAATGAGAAGAAAACCACTCTCCTCTTAACATCCAAAAACCCACAAATTATAGAAAAAGTGGGATCCTTTGTCTTCCTCTGTCTTCAAAAAAGAAGTCAAACCCAGTAGTTTTTTACCAGTAGTTTCTTAGTAGTCATCAATAGTTCTATATGTATTAATTGCCTGTTTTATACCATATTTCTTCTGTTTCTGCAATTAGCCCTCGGGCAAGAATTTGCAATAAATAAATTAAATTATTACTGTTCAAAATAACTGAAATAGGCAGTGACACGGTTGAAAGTGAAGTGTTTTGGATTTTCTTATCCCGCTTCTGATTTTCATGTTTGTAAACAGAATCATAAAACGTCAGCAAAAACTGTAAACAATCTTGATATCCATATTCATACAGGTTGCTTCAGACAATCAACACAATCAACACACTAAGACCAAAGTAATTTAAAACTGTTCCATACTATAAAATAATCACGAACAAAGTATTACTTAGTACGTTTATACAGCAGGAGGAGAAATGCACTTAGTCAAACTGCACACGCGGATCTTTTACATTTTATCATCTCTATCTCAATGCTACATGTACCTTTTAAATTAATAAATAGCAAGAGGTTTCGATTAAGAAAAGCGGTAGTAGTAGGAAGAGGGAATTTTAGTTTTTCAACATATTCTCTTCTTCGTGAACCAAGACTTGTACTTACAGTTCTCCCCTTGTTATGTGTATTAGTCAGGCCACAGCAAGTAACTTTTATGGATGACATCCTCCGCAGACTCCAAATCTAATGCAAGCGGGCGAAAAAAAACAAGGCGGGCCGAGCAAAAAAAAGGTTCCTACATTTTAGAATTTTGACTTAATCATTGTACAAATGGTTTTGATTCAGTGGGAACATCACATATATACAGCAAGCATCACATATCATTGCATCAAAGTAAGAAACAGAACATCAAATCAGAGCCTTTTCTTGTCTCCTCTCGTCATAGTTATCTGTCATCCACCTTCCGGCATGGCAACTTTGCCCATTTTCGACATGTTGACCACTGTCGATCAGAGGGCAACAAAATTTCTTGTTTTTTTTTCCAAAATTAGGCGAAAATTAATGCGCGCGCTGATGTCATCCATAAAATTTACTTGCTGTGGCCTTATTAATTTTTTCTGAGTCGAGAATCAAGGTATAAGCTTGGCTTGTCGATAAAGGTTAGACATCCAGGTAATACGATACGCCAAATAGCAGTTACTCAAGCAACTGGATATGCTTTTGAAAACGGTCAGACCTTTCAGCTGGTATCCACATCCAGTTACTGACGAAAGCTAGTGGATACTAGCTGAAACGTCTCACCGTTTCCCAAATCATATCCAGTTGCTTGAGTAACTGCTTATTGGGGTAATTTTGGCTTGGCCTGACAAAGGAGCTTTCTGATTTTTTAGGTGTCAGGACACCATGAGAAGAAAGCTGCGACACGCCCTGATTTTCCTTCTCATCATCCTGAAGGAGCCCAACATGCCAGAAGCTCAACCCTGCAGATGTAAACTATCACCACCCTGCAGGGTCAACCAGGGCCTCACCAGCATCCCTCAGAACCTCCCGACATCCATCTCTAAGTTAACTATAATATATAACCATATCAAAACTGTAAAGCAGCCTGAGCTGTTACGGTTTAAGAATTTGACTTCCGTGTGCCTCGAACAGAACCAGATAACAAGGATTGAATCAGGCACATTTGCAAATCTACCCAAGCTACACAATTTGTGGCTGTCCCAAAACTGCATAACTACCATCCATCCTGGTACGTTTGCAAATTTGCCCCAGCTACAAGAGTTGCACCTGTCCTACAACCAGATAACGGCCATCCCTTCTAGTTCATTTGTAAATCTGCCCAAATTAGAACGCTTGGCACTATACAATAACAAGATAGCTACCATCGCTTCTGGTACATTTGAAAATCTGCCCCAGCTACAAGACTTGCTCCTGCACAACAACCAGATAACTACCATCCCTTCTGGTACATTTGCAAATCTTCCCCAGCTACAAGTGTTGCGCCTAGACAACAACAAGATAACTACCATCCCTCCTGGCACATTTGCAAATCTGCCCATGTTAAAACGCTTGTACCTATGCAACAACCAGATAGCTACCATCAATTCTGGTACATTTGAAAATCTGCCCCAGCTACAAGAGTTGCCCCTGCACAACAACAAGATAACTACCATCCATTCTGGTGCATTTAGAAATCTGCCCCAGCTACAAGTGTTGCGCCTAGACAACAACAAGATAACTACCATCCATTCTGGTGCATTTGAAAATCTGCCAAAGCTACAAACGTTGTACCTAAGCAACAACCAGATAGCTACCATCCCTCCTGGCACACTTGCAAATCTACCCAAGTTAAAAAGCTTGGAACTACACAACAACCAGATAGCTACAATCGATTCTGGTACATTTGAAAATCTGCCTCAGATACGAGTGTTGTCCCTGCCCAACAACCAGATAGCTACCATCCATTCTGGTACATTTGCAAATCTTCCCCAGCTACAATACTTGCACTTGCACAACAACCAGATAACTACCATCCATTCTGGTGCATTTAGAAATCTGCCCCTACTTAAACGCTTACTAATTGCGAACAACAAGATGTCGGCCATTCCTCTGCCAGTCTTCTGCTTGTTCCAATCTAATATCATCATAGAACTTGACGGGAACCCCTGGCAGTGTGACTGTAGGATGGCTCCGATCAGGCGAATTCCCCAATTAAACAACCACATAACGTGTGCCCAACCCGGCAAAGTTCAGAGACAGAAGCTTGTACATGTCGATCCTAAAGAACTGACGTGTAAAGAGCCAACGACATCACCACTAACTGTTGATAGCTGTTCTGCTGCAGTGTCAACACCTTCAGTTAGCAGCACAGAAAGCAATACTAGCCCATCGGTCTTTAAAACCACTAAGGGCTCAACAGAGAACCCCGCAGAAAATGCAATCAAATCAAACTCTCGCCTTCACTGGTACTTTAAGTTTAATGCTGCCCCTTTGTCTGATCCTGACTCAAGCCCTGCAGGCAAAACATCAAGCCCTGCAGGCAAAACAAGACCAACGCTAGCTTCGCCCCTTGCAATCACGTCAGAGAAATCAGAATCAGCTCCCAGTTCCCCTCAGCTAACCACATCAACACGAATAGCTGATATCCAATTGATCTCACACAGCTCTCACTATCACTGGTACTTCAAGTTCAGTGACAGTGTTGCCCCAATGTCAGACCCTGCAGGCAAAACAAGAGCAACACTAGCTTCGCCCCTTCTAATCACTTTAGAGAAACCAAAGAAATCTGCTCCCAGTTTCCCAAAACCTGTTCTCATAGGTTCAGTCTGTGGTCCAGTAGCTGGAATTGTTCTGATTGGGACCGTCTTGGTTGTAATTTTGAACAAAAGGAAGACCAGGAATCCTCCTTTAGGGTTGAACCCCAATGTTGTTGTAGGTGGTGGTAACACAAACACAGCAGTTTCTGTAATGGCCGCTGGTGGTGATCACCAGAATGATGATATTGACAACTCCCCTGTTAAAACAGGACAGGGTCAGGCTAACATTCAAAACATACGAAATCTACCCCACAACAAAAGGCTAGCTGTCTTAAAGCCAAATCCCATGTATACAGATGAAGGTAACGCAGAAGTTTCTGTCATGGTCAATGGTGATCATCACGAATACGAAGATATTGATAAACCCCGTGTTAAGGCAGGGCAGAGTCAGTCTCAGGCCAACACTGAATCCACCACAAACACCAAAGCTACTGTAATGGCCAGTGGTCATGATCAGGCAGGGCAGGGTCAGTCTCAGACCAACACTAAATCCAACACAAACACCACAGCTACTGTAATGACCAGTGGTCATGATCAGGCAGGGCAGGGTCAGTCTCAGACCAACACTAAATCCAACACAAACACCACAGCTACTGTAATGGCCAGTGGTGGTGATCAGACAGGGCAGGGTCAGTCTCAGACCAACACTAAATCCAACACAAACACCACAGCTACTGTAATGGCCAGTGGTGGTGATCAGACAGGACAGGGTCGGTATCAGCCCCTACTCCTAGATGCTAGAAATGTATCTTATGGCACAGGGCCGACTGCCTCACAGCTAAATTCTCTGTACAAAACAGCTACTGAAATTGCCAGCGGTCAGGATCAGACAAGACAGGGTCAGTCTCAGGCCAACACTGAATCCAACACAAGCACCACAGCTACTGTAATGACCAGTGGTCATGATCAGACAGGACAGGGTCAGTCTCAGGCTATCACTGAATCCAGCACAAACACCACAGCTACTGTAATGGCCAGTGGTGATGATCAGGCAGGGCAGGGTCAGTCTCAGGCCAACACTGAATCCAACACAAACACCACAGCTACTGTAATGATCAGTGGTGATGATCAGACAGGACAGGGTCAGTCTCAGGCCAACACTGAATCCAGCACAAACACCACAGCTACTGTAATGGCCAGTGGTGATGATCAGGCAGGGCAGGGTCAGTCTCAGGCCAACACTGAATCCACCACACACACAACAGCTACTGTAATGATCAGTGGTGATGATCAGACAGGGCAGGGTCAGTCTCAGGCTAACACTGAATCCAACACAAACACCACAGCTACTGTAATGATCAGTGGTGATGATCAGGCAGGGCAGGGTCAGTCTCAGGCCGTGACTGAATCATTGGCCGTTAGAAATCTGTCTTATGGCACAGAAGCGACTGACGCACAGCTGAATACTCTGTACAAAACAGCTACTGAAATGGCCAGGGATCAGGATCAGACAGGACAGGGTCAGTCTCAGGCCAACACTGAATCCTTGGATGCTAGAAATCTGTCTTATGGCACAGGGCCTACTGCTTCGCAGCTAAATTCTATGTGAATGAGGAAACCACAATTGTAAAATCCACATTTTATCGGTTGGACAATGATTATCGATGAATGGCAAAGAAAATAATAATTGGTCTTTGAGCTCACTAAAAGACCATAGAGAGATCATAGGTGCTCGCTGAAAGACCTTTGTAAACTCTGTTGGATTTTGAACCCTTGATATTCTCTCAAAGGTTTCAATTATGTTGAATGCACACTCCACTAACCAAACACTTTGAAGGTCCAGGAAACATTTTGAAAAAAAAAAGGTTTAATTAAAAATAATTCCTGTGGAGGTAGGTCTTTTCTGTATCATACTTGTGGACTGGTTCCACACTTAGCTTTACCAGAATCCAGGTTTAACACATCAGATTCTTCATTTCAATACTGTTTTTGGGAGATTTATTTATTCTATACTATGTCAGAGTAGAGATTACAATGAAGTAAAGATACTAAAATGAGTAAATGTAAGTTTTCAAAGACAGAACTTTTTAACAACAATTCGAGCCACTTCCGGTGTGAGTTGATCAAACCAAGGAGGTCAAACCTCCTTGACCAAACCTTACAGTATGATCTTCACTGTTTCTTATTTACTTACTGTGTACCACATTACGGTGTGCTGTATTAGCCTTATGGAAGTTTACTGGTTATGCCAACAAGCATGCCAACAATAATAGTACCTTGCAACGATGGAAAATGTAACAGATGTAGTCACATAGTTTTATGTATACATGGTAAAAGCGATTTATTGTGCATTAGAGCTACATCACTCTTCTTACTTGTAACTTACTTTATGTACTAGCTGAATTTATTTTTGGCAACTTGACGCCGCCATTGTAAACAGTACATCGTTAATAATAATGTACTTGTTTTTACTTAGTTCAGCCATTCCATACCCTTGCAAACTTAACGTAAGGATAGCGAATACTTATTAAAAATAATATACATGTATATACCATTGGCTTGTTTGCTCTTGCGTAAAGTACTTATATGTGTATTAAAAAATAAACTTAATTGTACAGTAACTCTTTCTGGAGTCCATTATTGCACATATAATTCAACCAAACTCAAAACTTCTGTACCAAAAAGCCAGTACCAGCCATAGTCTTACTTATAGTTCCACCGCCAGTATTCTGAATCGTCGCTACATACATTACATCTTGCTCCAGCAAGTATAAACTTCAGTCTCTAGAAATCGGCCTAAAATTAAAGGGATATAATTGGCAAGAGGAGTTGGCCAGCCAGAGAGGGTCCATTTTTCCTGCAGGCAAATGGACCCTCTCTGGCCGACCAATTATATCCCGTTTTAGGCTGATTTCTACTATTCATTCAGCCAGCATAGGAGTCTGGTGGAGACTATATAAACTTTTACAGGTATCCAGCATTTGCAGGACCCAGTATTCTAGACCAGACTGTACTAGGCACACTGGCTGGTTATACTGCATTGAACTTGCTACATATCAATATCTCTATTTCTTCACAGAGATGTCTTTCATATAAAATCAACTTGCAAAATTGCCATTACAACAAAATGGCAAGATGGAGCAAAACAATATTTGTCTTTATAAGCTACCCTAGTTTATTTATCTATTTTTTTTTGGTTTGCTAGAACAAGACGAACAATGTGACAGCAGAGCCTGTGGTCTTTGTTTCTGTCTTCCTGCCACGTTTTTCTAGCCTGGGTACCAGGTTAGTTTTCGTCCTCTCCCACAGTTGCTCCCGCACTAACCAGGATGGTACCCAGGCTAACATTTCTCTCCTAGCCCATGCTTTTATAATAGTTACTAAGTTGTCCAATATCCCGAAAATCAAGAAATCAAATTCTTGTAGCCTAAGAAAAAGACATCAGCAGAAACAGTTTCATCTTAGCACATGTCTTAAAGACACAAACGTCAGTTCCTTAGTGCGACACGAAGCTGAGACCCAGCAGTCCCTCTGAGATGACGTCGGCCAGGGGAAGGAGTTTGAAGGGCGGATGTTGGGCGATTTGGCGCGCATGTGGGACAGAGTCGGTTATCCAGAAGTTCTGGAAGGCGACGTCTGATTGGGTGAAGAGCTTCCAGGAGTCGTGTGGGAAGACCGGGTGGGTCACGTACGCACTGATCTTCTCTGCTCCATGGGATAACAGCACCTGGAACATGGGAATGAAATAATCAATCAATAAAAAACCAACTGAGGGCCTGGGCTAACCTCAATAATCAATCTATCAATAGTCGATCAATTAACCAGCACCTGGGCAGAGCCAAATCATACATGTGATAAAGATTGAAATAAGCAACATCATGTCTTTTTCTGATACAACACTGTGTGGGGGTAAATGTAAATTAGAGACATTAATTTGAACAAAAATCATCCAGCTATGAAAGTTGTCAATGAAATTGTGCAAAAAAACACATGACAGCAGAAAATTGTTGTCATTCTATTCTTAACATTGAGGGCAGCAAATTTCATGTAATGATTTACTGATTTGTGATTGAATAGTGATAAAAAATAGTCATAAAAGTCAAGAACATGTCTGTCTGACCTTGGCACACTCCTTCAGTGTCCCTCCTGTCATGACAAGGTCATCCACAATAACGACATGGCGGCCTTTTGGGTCTCCTACAGAAAAAAAACATTGCTTCAAAAATGACATATCTAAGTTTATAACAAGTGTGGTTAATAAGATTAAGTTATGATTACACAAGATTCTACTAGGTTCTGTAGTTAAGCTATATGTTGATAATTTGCTGCTGCAAGTCAATGAATTTAGTGAAGGTGAGACAACTATTCTATATGTTCTATACAAGCAAAGACAACCAGATTCTAGCACTTTCCTCATTATGAAATTTATATTACATACACGCGTACTGGTCATGCATTATATTTTTCAAATCCAACTCAGCAAAACATGTTACTCAATCAATAACCTAGTTAATCAATTAGTTAACAGATAGACATATACTAATAGATTAACAAGTAAAGTACCCTCGCTATTGGCCATTTCTTACATTCTTTATAAGCCTGGAGACTTGGCATAACAAGTTAATAATTAATAACTAGCTAGTTGATGAGTTGGTTAATAACAGGTTAAGGCAAACGTACCTTCCTTGATGGTGACCCGCCGCTTACCTTCCTTGACCGTCACCTGTCTCGTGTCTTCCTCCCGCACCTTGGTGCAGGTGATGAGCGGAAACCTGTCCTCAAACTGCAGGTGGAACCTCTTCCAGGCTCCCTCATCTGGGAAGGCTACTGCAATCTTGGACTGGTCTGGGAGTTGTAGAAGCTCTCGCTGGATCAGTGGGATCGCACTCTCTAGTCTGGAGAAGGAGGACAAAATCTGGATCACATTTAAAGAGAAATAAATCCGGCTGGATCGAAACAGGTGACGAGAGGAGACCTGTCCTCAAACTGTAGATGGAACCTTTTCCAGACTCCCTCATCTGGGAAGGCTACTGCAATCTTGGACTGGTCTGGGAGTTGCAGTAGCTCTCGCTGGATCAGTGGGATCGCACTCTCTAGTCTGGGGAGGAAAAGATCTGGATCAATATTCAGGTAGCCTTATTACAGCTCCTGAGTCCTACATCCTTTCTTTGTACAGACGTATATTTATCCTTCCGGTGAAGGTGCTGTGTCATCTGTGTGTACATTTCTCATGTAGCGGAGAAGATGTAGGACTCGGGAGCTATGATAGGTTTGGTATAACAGGTGATGAGAGGAAACCAGTCCTCGAACTAAAGGTGGAACCTTTTCCATGCACCTTCATCTGGGAAGGCTACAGCAATCTTGGACTGGTCTGGGAGCTGGAGAAGTTCTAGCTGGATCAGTGGGATCGCACTTTCTAGTCTGGAGAGGAAAAGATCTTGATCAAGATTCAGGTAGCCTGGTTACCAGACCTATTACAGCTCCTGAGTCCTACATCCTCTCCTTAGCCTGGTTACCAAACCTATTATAGCTCCCGATTCCTACATCCTCTCCTTAGCCTGGTTACCAAACCGATTATAGCTCCCGAGTCCTACATCCTCTCCTTAGCCTGGTTACCAAACCTATTATAGCTCCCGATTCCTACATCCTCTCCTTAGCCTGGTTACCAAACCTATTATAGCTCCCGATTCCTACATCCTCTCCTTAGCCTGGTTACCAAACCTATTATAGCTCCCGATTCCTACATCCTCTCCTTAGCCTGGTTACCAGACCTATTATAGCTCCCGAGTCCTACATCCTCTCCTTAGCCTGGTTACCAAACCTGTTACAGCTCCTGAGTCCTACACCCTCTCAATAGGGCCTCACTGCTTATAATCCTTTGTACAGGCGTGTGTTTATGCTTCCGGTGAAGGTGCTGTGTCATCTGTGTGTACATTTGTCATGTTGCAGAGAGGATGTAGGACTCGAAAGCTACCGTCAAGCCCCAGCATCAGTGTGCAAGCATGCCTAACCCTCGGAACATTGAGAAAAACAGATGTTAAAGGATAGAGAGAAGTAGAACTTGAGCGGCAGGGAGTGGATGTCGTAGCAACAGTTGCCATGGTAACAGACAACAGAACCCACCTGGCGATGATGTTGTCTGAGAAGTAGAACCTGAGCGGCAGGGAGTGGATGTCATAGCAACAGTTACCATGGTAACAGACAACAGGACCCACCTGGGGATGATGTTGTCTGAGAAGTAGAACCTGAGCGGCAGGGAGTGGATGTCATAGCAACAGTTGCCATGGTAACAGACAACAGAACCCACCTGGGGATGATGTTGTCGGAGAAGTAGAACCTGAGCGGCAGGGAGTGGATGTCGTAGATGACGACCTTGGTGGGTCCTCTGGCCGTAAGGGGGATCGCTGACAGCAAGGTCGCTAACGTCTGCGGGAGAGAAAAAAAGTGTTTACGTCAAAATAATGGAAAACATTAGCCTGGGTGCCATCCTCTGAGGTTACAGACCGATCCCTATTGATTTGTGGTAGCCAGTAAGAATACTAGTAGTGAGCCAGCAGTAACTACCGAGGATGGCACCCAGGCTAGGAAAACACTCAAGTTGTACAAATGTAACAAAAATGTCACTTAATCAATCAATCAATCAATCAATCAATCAATCAATCAATCAATCAATCAATCAATCAATCAATCAGCCAATTATGGTGGTGACCTTTGCGGTTGCGATCTGGCCCTCTGTGTCGACCCGTTCCATGGTTCCGGTGGGGAAGTACGGCAGGATCACCGTGAACGAGCGCGCCAGGTACCTGCAACAACATGGCGGAACATTACAAGGTCATGACCTTTGCAATTTGTACTTGTCTCCTGCATTACATTTGTTACTTCTGTACTAGTTTCTGCTGTTTTACGTTTATCTTCATTTTATGTTCATGTTAACAGCAGTACTAGTCTAGTGTGTGGCACTGTGTCTGTCCTTGGTACTTAATTTCATGTACATTCGGATTAACAATAGGAGAACCAAAGAGAGACATATGCCAGTATTACAACCCTGTATTGACACTGAATAACATTCATATAGGAACAATGACATAAACAACATATGGGTGTTTGATAACTTTCTTCAGTTATTTCTGTGGTGTGAAATGATTCTGTATTAACACTTGTGGTGCCTGTCCTTGGTACTGAATGGCTTTCATATGAATCTGTGGTAACAAGAGAGAGAGATACAGGTGTTTAACAACTTTCTTAAGTCATTTCTGTGGTGTAGAATCCTGTATTAACACTTGTCGTGCCTGTCCTTGGTACTGAACGAATCTTAGATTGGACTAAAGTTGATTTTCTTACTTGGGAACTGCATACAGGATGGACAGCTGTTCAAAGATGACGTCAGGAGAGTGAAAACTGGCCAGGAACACAACTGCAGGGGAAATAACAAATCAAACTTTTCAAACTATCATAGCTTACATCCCTACATTCCCACTATCCGGACTAACCGTGCCTGATCCTAACCCAATTTAGGTACGTATACAGAACTACGCTGTATAGGCATGGTTCTGGGTACAATAGAGACTATATAGAACTGAATAGGATAACTAAGTAACGTTACAGGTCTCATATGAGTTTTGGAACATAGAAGAAGAACTTAATTGCACGGCAATTGTACAGGGTACAAATTGTATGGCAAATAGGTAACAATATATAGTGGGTATGTAACATATGGGTTGTCCCAAGACATCTGGTTCCGGTCATTGACCTTGTTGGTTTGGAGAAAAAGAAGAAGAGGTAACAGAGCAAAAACAATATGTTTTCCTTCAGACCAGCCTGCTATCCTAACTCACCATCCCTGCTGACACACTCCTTCACGTTGTCGATGAACAGGTTCGGGAAGTCATCAGGAAATTTGCCCCAGATGATCGTCCGCTTCACCTGCACCGACTGCACCTGGGTCTGCCTCTGATGGTAGGGGAAAATTCTTGTGATTTTTATTCTATCACATTTATAGTATTTGTCTTGATATCGTTTTACAGCTCTGCAAAGGAGGTTGGTTGATGTAGACAGTAATCTCCAAGCAGATCCTACAGTGGCATTAAAGTAAATAATAATATACCACCTAAGCTAGTACAAGTAATCAGACGCTTCACCTGCACTGACTGGACCTGGGTCTGCTTTTGGAGGAAGCCCGGGAAAATAAAGCCTGTGATAACTCTCTGGTAAAATTCTCACGTAAAATCTCTGTGTGGGGAGATAATGGAGGGACTGCATGGGGGTTTAATGATTACTCACTCACTCACTCAGCCCCTCCTTAATGATTACGAATTATGCAAAATGTTTGCCACTGATTACAAATTACGTTACAGTCTCAGAGCTGATTACGAACAATTATGCATTATAGCTAATGTACTGATAACCAATTACGATGAATTGGGGCGCCTGCCTACAGATTACGACTAAAATGGCCTGATTACACCTTACGAAAAAAGACAAGCTGGCCTCATTATGGTCTATTTTATATATAGGCATTTGCGGTCATAGACAGGTTTACTGGTCAATGGGAAAAATAAAGAGACCAGCAAATAATGGCCAGGTGATCTTTATGTAGAGGTGATGGCTTGCTTTTTAGTTGTACAGGTTTGACTGTACAGATACACATGTATTAAAAGTTACATACACCCTGAGTGACATCACATTTAGAGGGGAGGGGGGCATCATTGGAAAAGAATCTGACTTGTGTGAGGGTCATAGGGTGTAACATTGAACGTGCAGGAATGTTCCAAAGTGGAATTTATATCAGAAAGAACACTAGAGGAACATTTTTTGTGAAGAGGAAAATGTTAGGACATATTTTGAAGATTTACACGCCCCCCTTCAAGAATGGCGCAACCCAGCGGGATACTTACTTCCGGGTTTCGAACCTCAGAAAAAGGGCGAATTTTTGAGACAAAACTGTGGTCTCCTGAACACTGTTTATCCTTCAAAACCATATCCAATCTGTACTGTGACACCTGTAGACTTTTCTCAACACGATCGGCTACAGAACAACTCTGTATCGTGATATTTTAAAGTAGAAATTGTGGAAATAAACAAACAAAAAAACAACAGCATTATAGCTTCGAACTCACCTCGGTCCCAGTTTGGACCAGCTGACGACATTTTTCAGCTACGTCGTCCGCTAGCGCCTCCATGGAGGGATGGGCGAACAGCAAGACGTCATCTTTAACCTTGGCCATCGCTAAGAAACTCGCCAAGACGGCCCCGCCCACCTGGGAACGAGTCGGAGAAAAAAACAACAGAAAACACTGGAAACGAGATGACGGAAACTTCCTGGAAACGAGAGTTAAAACTCTGGAAACGAGAACACCACGCAAGGCAGGCTGGGTAAAATCTGGTTCGCGCAGGCGCACTGCACGAAATTTTGTCCAGAGGTGGAATAAAAATTTTTTGATTGTAAAATAGTTCAGGTGAGAAGGCGGCGATTAGGGGGTGTTTTAGCCCGATTTTGCCCCTGACAGACGCCGCTAACGATCTGACTTGTCCTCCGGATTCTACGTGCAGGATTTTTCGCAGAAAAAGCAGAGAAAACTGGGAGAAACGCATCATTCTACCCACCCCTGACCATCGGTGATGTCAGGATGAAACGTTATGTTGTAGACCGCTGACTTCTCCACTTTACAAGAAATTTATCCGGTTTTCTCTGACATAAAACCGTCCGACAGTTTCTCCCGACATGTCAGAAACACTCCAGGACCGCCGGACGGACGCAGACGACGGTTTGGCCGTACCAGACATCCTCCCGCTCACGGAGTATGATTCTTTCAGGGTGAGAAAAAACACGACATCTTTCCCCTCAGTATCGTTTGATTTTCTTAAAAAAATTCCTGTCAGAATAATTTTAGTTCCAGTGCTTGCCTCTTTATATTTTCTTACACCATAAATTTTGCAAGGTGTGGCTGTGAGAAAATTTTGGCTTGTTTCTTTAGTAAAGAAAAAAAAAAGAAATAACATTCCTAGCCGCCTCTGTACGTGTGTCATGATGTAGAAATATTTGGCGACATAATCATGTAGGAACAAACAGGCCGTTCCCATGTTGTTGTTTACATGTTTAGTCAGTAGAATAACGGTCATCAAGATTACAATTTGCAGTCAAAAAGTATGTTATTATGTGCAGGATAACATAAATGTTAGATTTGATGCACAAGGTTGAAGAAATTAAGAGGGATTCAATAAGAAAACAGTCCAAATTGGAAGAGACAGGTCATGCTCGGTTATTGAGTTATTTCGTGGGCGGATTCCTGTCACCAAGCAGATACAAGGTGTAGAGATCATAGCATTTTCAAGAATGGTGAAATTTGGTAGAAATAGTGATACACGTATTTCTAATCTGAAAATGTTTAGGTGTTTATGACTGACTGAGCCTTCCTGTTTGGTAGAATAACATTGTCATGTGGTTGGTGAGTATGACAGGTGCACAAGCCTTAACCATCACATTACGTATTTACTTGTATTGTGGACCTGTACCTTAAACAATGTTATGAAGACATGTCTACGGTGACCACTCAAGTCAAGCGACTTGAAGAACATGGTCACAGTAGAAAGGTGGTCACTACAGTCTACAGACAGGATTCTTTATACAAAATGTATATTATTATAACTTACACCAAAATAAGACTGCCATCATGGCATGGCCAGGTTGTGGTCACTACTACTAGAACTTAGTAGTACCAAAGGTAGTACAGGTATGACAGTGTTAGTGTACATTCCTGTACTGTTTTGATGTACAATGTGAATTTGTATTCAGCTAAATAAAAGGGACTGATCATGTAACTTACATTGTTAATGACAACCAACATTACAACACAGCCAACATTATGAACACTATCATGTCCTAGCAAGGTGATAAAAGCTCCTTGGTCCTAGTGATCCTTAACTTAAGATGTAGAGGTGGTCACTAGAACAGGTTTAAATGTACATTTAGTTACTGTATTATATAGAATGCCTATTTGTTAACATTCAGCTTAAACAAAGCTATAGTTACTAGTGCTGTAAACCAGCACTACAATTTAGTAAAGATTACAGTGCACACCGATGACGTAATGTAAGCATGAACCGGTTGAGTTGACACATGTTTGTTTGATGCACCGTTACTAGCCTGGAGCGTGCCAACAACCAATTTGCGGGGGGGGGGGGGCGAATTTAGTAATTAGGTGAGGGGCGGATGCCTCACTAACAATACAGGACTGTGTGCAGCAATTACAGACACTGGACAATTTGTACTACTAGTACTAGTCTAGCATTGTGTAGATTATAGATATATAATTATTTAGAATGTATCAGACTTGCATTTTAGTATTTTGTACCTTTATCTGTACAACAGTTACAACCACCCTTCGGTGTAACACACCAGTGTTAATGTGGTATTGGATCACAGGTGTTATTGTGAAACTCAATGTGCAGAATTTTACTGCCATTTTTTGATTTTGTATACAACACATTACAAGCATAACCAGTAATTTATTAAACTAAGATGCAGCTAGCTGTTTGAATATATAAAAATTTAACAGAAAAAGGCACATGCCATGATATAAACTCACATGTAGACATCAGAGGATTATGGAAAAAAATTGGGTCATTATCAAATGTTTTCCCAATTTGACATAATTTTTCACATCTAATTCTGATATCCAAGACAATAATTTGGTATGGCCCTAGCTAACTGTAGACAGAATATACAGTCATGTATCTAGACTAGAGTCATATTGAGTTATGACAGATGTGGTATTAAGGATTTCAATACCAGAGATGTACCAGTACATCATCATGTAATCAATACATGCACAGATGGTCCAGTGAAACATGTACAGCTACAGGACTGCCATATAGGCCACACTGTCCTCACATCTGTTGGTTTTACAGTCTACTTTGTGTTAAAATATGTTACATGAAACCAAATTGTGGTGTGTGTTACTAGATTGTAAAATTGCCTAGAGGAATTCATATGTTCTTGATATTTTTATCTGCTTTGTCAGGAATAAAAAAAATAGATGGTGTACATTACTATCATCGATGCAAAAGTCAATGTTTCCTTGCAGGGTGCTACTAGTATACTGGACTGCTACTGTTACACTTGCTGTCTGAAAACATCTTTTCCAGGCCTTGTTTGGGAAGGGTATGGGTTAGATTTTAGCAGGTTGGAATGAAGCACAGAATGACGATATAAATAATTACATTGTGCTATTGTTATATGTATTCATTGTTTTCCAAAACGTCCATGCCTCCCTACTGTGTGCCATAGGAAAGGGTTGGGGTTATGAGAGTTAGAGTTTAATGTGTTATTGTGTATGTTATCCAGGGAAAAGTCCATGCGTCCCTGCTGTGGGCCATAGGAAAGGCGTATGGCGGGCTGGTTCCTCCCGAGCTACAGTGGCCGTTCTTCACGGACGATGAGGTTTGTTTATTTGTTTGTTTGTTTGTTTTTACGGCCGTTAGTGAATTTGTCAGTGTTCTTCAGGTCAGGTCAGTTCACCTACTGACCCTAATTTTTTCAGGACTGAAACAGGAAACAACATTTTTCCCTACTAATCCTAGGTCTAAGGGAGAGCCATGCTCTTGTTGACATGTCTGTAATCTCAACAGTTGTTGTTGTTGACATGTTGTTGTTGACATGTTGTTATTGTTGTTTACAGGGAACAGAACAGCTTACACCATTGCTGGTAGGCATGCTGACAGCAGGAGAACTATGATCTGTACCCAGTTGTTCCGTGAGCCGTGTGACTGGGGGGGACACTGGTCGTTGTTGACATGTTGTTGTTGACATGTTGTTGTTGACATGTTGTTATTGTTGTTTACAGGGAACAGAACAGCTTACACCATTGCTGGTAGGCATGCTGACAGCAGGAGAACTCTACTGTATGATCTGTACCCAGTTGTTCCGTGAGCCGTGTGACTGGGGGGGACACTGGTCCGACATGTTGTTGTTGACATGTTGTTGTTGACATGTTGTTATTGTTGTTTACAGGGTGTGGAGCAGCTGACGCCGTTGTTAGTGGGCATGCTGACAGCAGGAGAACTCTACTGTATGATCTGTACCCAGCTGTTCCGTGAGCCGTGTGACTGGGGGGGACACTGGTCTGTGATCCAGGCGCTCGGGCGGAGAGGTATACAGGCGATGGAGGACGAGGAAAACGGAGTCTCACAGGAAAACTTACAGGAGGCCCAGCCTATCAACCTGGTAGGGAAACTGTCTTCTGTTATGTCTTAAAGGAACAGTGCAGTGTTAGAACTCCCCACCTGCAGTCTGCATTTTGCAGAGACGTTTTCAATATTGCATGAGAAAAGTTAAGCAACATGCAATTTTGCAGACTGAAAAAATCAGTCAGGCTCGGGGTTCAAAGGAGCTTTTGTGTTTACTACAGACTCTATGATATACAAGTAGTTTTTGCATGTATTTTTCAGATTGCATGTAAAACGTTTGCCAACGTGCGATTTTGTATGTGCCATGTTTAGATCCATATCTATCTAACAACATTTAGGCTGACATGTCTGCCAGTTGTATGATAAAGATTTAATCCATTCCAATTGTTGTTTGCCCTGTTACATATGAGAGTGCTAAACCTTGTTTTTTTGTTGTTGTTTATGTTTACAGAAGTCCCACCTTGCCGTCCTTGATGCCCTGATGGAGGCTTACATTAATGAGGTCATCAGTATAGAAGGGGTCGTCACAGCTGTCAAGTAAGAACTCCTGATAACTATTATTTTTATGAATATTTACCACATTTGTGGAAGGATTGACCTAACAGGTGAATGTTACCTCTTCAAGATGTCAAACCTGAGACCAGACTGTAAGGTTGGAACCACTCAAACTGGGAAGGACCCCTGTGCTTTTTGATAATTGTGGTGCGATTTTATCTTCACGAGCAGTCTGTACAGCATGGCAAGTCGAGCTGTCTTCAGTCATGCTTGGCAAGCATTTCTGTGGGACTTGAGGTGTGCCTGTACTGCCTCAACACAAAACGAGCTGCCTTGCGTTGAACTGCCTCCAGTCTGTCCATGTCTTGTTGGGTATGAGGGTCCCATACCGTAGCCGCGTACTCTAGTATGGGACGTACGTTCATATAGGTCTTGTAGGCCATCTCTATTTACAGTTTTTACCCCTTCCCTAGGAAATTTGCGTCGTTCAATGCGTCCCAGGAGCTTCCCTATGACATGGAGGATGCTCTGCTGTTCTGGTTAAGTAAGGTGGGGAGAACTCTGCAGGACGACAGGGCCAGCAAGGTAGGGACACAGCCATCAGCTTGAAAATTCATTGGTGGATGTTATAATAATTATGCAGCAAGTTTGAACTGTACACAAGGAAGTCATCTACATACATGTAACATGGCATCACAGAAGCACAGGATTTCTCATTCTTTCAAAAAAGAAGCAGCTCATCTCACAGGCAGCTTAGCTTTTCCACCCCCACTGTATTGCTGAACAATCCTTTTTCACAAGTGATTCCCTTGATTAATCTCCAAGCAGATATTTTGGTGGCCGCAAAAGACAGTATCAAATCGGCAAGGCTGTATCCATTTGACAGTATCCAGTGGCCACCCTTTCATGGCTAATAGTCCCTCCTCTGGCAAGTGGATACAGCCTTGCCGATTTGATACTGTCTTTTGCGGCCACCAAAATATCTGCTTGGAGATTAATCAAGGGAATCGCTATCATATGATCTGCTTGGAGATTAACAGTTGATGCTCTTGTGTGTGCCTACAGAAGGTGAACGACCCAGAGGGCGGTGACCTCCCTGTGCTGGATGACATCCTGAAGGACCTTAATGATGGGCGGGTGCTTCTCGCCGTGCTCTGCTTCTACTGTCCCAACCACATCCGCCCTGCAGGTCAGTTACTCCCTCTAGCAGAATTACTCAGAACTGCAGTCATCTACTGTCCTGAAATTCCCTTTCTATCTCTATCCAGTTCAACGTCTGGGGGTTAGACATGTTTGCATAAAGTGTAAGAATTCTATAAGCAAGATTTTTTATGGGGTTTTGTTGCACAACGGCAGAGTGCTCGATTCTGTACCAAGAGGTCCCAGGTTCAAGTCCTGCCATGCCACCGATCTTGTGCCCTTCGGAAAGGCACTTAACACGACTTTCTTCACTTTAAGACAAGTGAAGATATAAAGTATTGTCTGACCTGTATTTGTCTGTGTGTGTGGGACACAACACCAGCAACAGCTGCCTGTGTCCCATGTGTATTGTATTGACACAATTTCAATAACTCAAATCAACCATTGACACTTTTATTTTAACAGATGGCCAGCTTGGCTCGCTGATTTCGATGTCAGAGTCGGTGCGGAACCTGTCCCTGGTTCGCCGGTTCTGTGACCAGCATCTGGGCGCGATGTTCCACCTTTCCTACGAGGACGTGCTGTACAGCCCGGAGGTTCTGAAGCCCAACGTGAAGGCGTTCGTAGCCGAGCTGTTCTGGTGGCTGGAAGTGGTGCAGCCGGATATTGTACAGCCTGGGCTGACCAACCATCAACAGACAAGTTAGTAATGTTACATATAAAATACAACACATGTACAATACAGGGTTAGGGTTAGGGCAAGGGCTAGCCGGTTAGGGCTAGGGTTAGGGTTAGGGTTAGGGTTAGGGTTGGGGCTAGGGCTAGGGTTAGGGTCATTGTTAGGGTTAGGAGTAGGGTTTAGGGGTTAGGGTTAGGGATAGGGATAGGGTTAGGTTAGGGTTAGGGTTGGAGCTAGGACGTGCTGTACAGCCCAGAGGTCCTGAAGCCCAACGTGAAGGCCTTCGTAGCCGAGCTGTTCTGGTGGCTGGAAGTGGTGCAGCCGGATATCGTACAGCCTGGGCTGACCAACCATCAACAGACAAGTCAGTAAAAATGTTCATATCTTAATCTTATCTTAATAATACTGGCACAAAACCCTCTCGCGTATAGACGTCCAGGGGTAGGTCATTGGTGCACGGTTAAGTACGGCCGGTGGTGGAAGTGCTCGTATCAAATATAAAAGTGAAAAAGTTCTGTACAAGGTGCCAAAAATAAAGAAATATATATATCGTACAGCCTATAACCAACCATCAACAGACAAGTCAGTAGATATAAAATACCACACTGGGTTAGGGGTAGGGCTAGGGTTAGGGCTAGGGCTAGGGTCCCTCTTGGCAGACACTAGAGCAGTCCCTACGAGACCAGCGTCTTTCTCTAACATTGACAGAAGTGTATTATGTGGTCTTCCCAGTCTACGTCTTCCAGTGGGAAGCCACTTGATTAGTCTACCAGCTGAACCTGTTATTTACACTGTTATTTACACTTGTTATTTGCAGTTCCGTTAGAACCTGAGGTGTCCTCCACCCCAACCCGAGCCCGCCCGCGGCCCACAGTCCCCATCAGCAAGGCGACGAAACGGAGCTTCCAGGTCCCCACACCGGAGAGAGACACGCAGAGTAACCTCAGCATCACTCCCTCCCATAGCAGTCCTGATATCAGTAAACACACGCCGCTGTTAACACTGAGACATCGGGCAAAAAGGGACAGTCAGCACGGGGAGGGTATGTGTGACATTCGCTGGCTAATACCCAATAGTTTAGCTTTAGTTTTACATGCAGAGTAACCTCAGCATCACTCCTTCTAATAGCAGTCCTGATATCAGTAAACACACGCCGCTGTTAACACTGAGACATCGGGCAAAAAGGGACAGTCAGCACGGGGAGGGTATGTCTCACATTTGGTGACATTTGCTGGCAAATGTCCAATAAATCTGCATTTTCTGACAAAGATTTTGTTAAGGTCAGAGTACAGGTCTTAGCAGAAAAGCAATTATGTTTACCAAAAGAAAACATTATATTGTTTTTCCTTAGTTTCCTTCCTCTTCTTCTTCTCCAAACACTAACCTCTGACCTGGCCAATGACCTGATTTGTTAACATCTGTCACCATGGTAACTGGTGTTGGATTACATCATGTTGCAATTTTATAGCAGGAGGGATTTAGACTCCTGTCACCATAGATATGAATGTGTTTGAGTCTGAGCAGACCATACAGACCAGGTAAACATGCATTTGCTTTGTAAATGTTACCTTTCTAGTCTTGCGCTTAGCTTTTATCTTCAGGTCCTTATCTACATCTATGTCTACAGGTGAGGAAGTCCTTCATCCTCTAAGAAGGTCCAACTCCTTAAACTCTGCCTCAGACGCATCAGTGAAGGGTTCTGTCATGGCCTGGCCTGAGGTTGCCAATAGCAACGGAGGAGTGCCACGCCCAGGTCAGTAAGGTCAACATTTGCCTGGTCCTGGCAGTGACTTATGAGTTAGTTTTATTGACATTCTACTTCATTTTAAGTTGTGCACCATATTTTTTCCTGTGCACCTATCTTTGTCAAAATATATGTGGAATTCTGACAGACTTTCTTTGTTTTTGATATTCTACTATATTGTAAGTTGTGCACCATTTTTTCTGTATGCTTAAATATTTCTCATAATGAAGGGATCCTGACATGTTGCTGTTTGTTTTGTGTTACAGACTCTATTTTTGCTGACACAGTAACAATTTAGTAAGCTGCACTTCAACATAATTTCAAAATACAAATTGAAATCCTGACAGACTTTGTTGCTGTTTGTGTTACAGGGAACGTCGGCCACGAGTCCCAGCAGGACCTTGACCTTGAGAGTGTTTCCTCGCGGCCTGAATCCCGCACAGACCGAGCAGACAGTAGTCCGGCTCCCCAGGCTCCTCAGGCTCCCCGAGAGCCGCTCATGCCTGCCGTCCTCAGACCCTCCAAGGAGAAAAACAACACCTGTAAGTGATTGATTTATTTATTTCTCACCTTAGAAAATTCACAGTCTCGCAGTTCACGCAACAGCAGCGTGCGCAACTCGGAACCAAGAGGTCCCGGGTTCGAGTCCTGACATGCGACCGATCTTGTGCCCTTGGGAAAGGCGCTTAACACGACTTTCCCCACTAGACTCAGGTGAAAATGAGACTTGTCTGTCCAGTATTCGTTTCTATGTGCGGGACACAACACCAGCAACAGCTGCCTCTGTTCAACTTGTATTGCATTGTTGCAATTTCAATAAAATCAAATCAAATCAAATTTTTTTCTTAACAACGTAGGTAAGAAAGAGGAAGAACTAGGAGAAGGCCCTGACAAGTCTGTTACAAAGATTGACCGTACGGGCAGACTTCGCCACACCGTGGTGTCAAGTGACGTGGACACCATGGATCAGATTACGCCCATCAGCGAATCGGTGAGCAGCTTTTCGCTCTCGAGCTCCAGCGACGTGGTGATGGGCTCGCAGGGCGACTCTGACTCAACCGTCAGCTCCGAGAGCTGCTCCACCAATCGGCCACAGGGGTTCTACCTCGCGCCGGTCTCCACGGCGATGTCGTATGACGTCACAGACCGAGCGCCGGAAAAGCGTGGAATCCCGGCTACCGGTAAAAGCTACACTGTAGCTGAAAACATGTACACAACGGAATCTGCCCAAGCAGCGGGGATTCCTATCATTGATGACAACAACTTGGGGAGGGGGGCGGGCTTCGAAGAAGAGGAGAACCCTGGAACAGGGGAAGACGGTGGGAGCGTCGTAGAGTCTCCGAAACTTCACAGTGAAACTTTAGACAAGGAGAAAGAGCTCCAGAAAGAATCATCGTCGCTACTCCAGAAGGAGCGAGAGTCGCTCCAAATGGAGTTTCTCCAGCGAGAGTCGGTGCAGATACAGACCTGGGGGAAGGGTGGCGACAAGAACTGTAACGGTGGTGGTGTAACCATGGCAACGACCCCCTCGCAGGAGGTCAAGGTCGCGGCGACCTCTGCCGGGTGCGTGACGACGTGGGGGCGTAACCGGGCCTCGCGTGGAAGCACTCCGGAGGAACAGGAGAACGGACACGGAAGCCAGCCGCTCGCGTCGCAGATGGTCAAACTCAGACTGAAGTTAGAAGAGAAAAGGCGAACGATCGAAAACGAGAAGAAGAAAATGGAGCTGCAATGGAACAGGCAGAGACAGAGAGTCGGTAAAGCGGCGTTCTTACACGTCATTTCCCAGAAGAAGAACACGAAAGAGCCGCCGGTAGCGGAAAACTACCGCTACGACAGAGGCGACAACAACGGGAGAATCCGGTTTGACAAAAACGAAGTCAGTGCTCCGTGTATGACAGGATTCGCCTCGGCTAACTCATCCATACCCGAGGAAGTGGCTTCGGAAGTGAACAGTCTTGCGCTTAGGGAACCCGTGTTCGCTCCCAAACAGTCCCACGAGCTGCCCATGTCCCCGAATGAAGCAACCAGCCCTGGCAACGGGGATGTCATAGACCTGAACGAATATAACACTTCCCTAGAGAGGCTGAACAGCGATCTGTCCATGATTCAGAAGGAAATCGCGCGCTTGTCTCACCAGCAGGACGTTCTGAAAAGCCAGTCTTCTCCACAGGCGAAGGAAAGACCGCCGCAATCGGGGAAAGTAAAGCCAGTAGCGTCCAAGTCACCGAAAAGCAAGGAGAAAAATGTTGCGTCCACGCCCAAACTGACTCATGCTAACGTAGCAGGCACCGTGTCCAACGCGAGTTCCGTTTCATCGAACCAGTCGCGATCGTCGAAAAAGCAGCCAGGCAGAGTCACGGCGATGGAAGCCTCGCCGACGATCGAACATGTGCAACACCGGAGACTAGCCGGCAGCCAGTCGGACCAGACCCTGGGGCTGGGTGGTTCCTCGGGGCAGCAGTTTGATGCAGACCTGCCCAGGAGTGAGTCAGAGCCAGTCCCGCCGGCGTGTGTGGAGGACAGCGTAGGGACAGTACTACCTGTCCGCACCACGTTTGACAGCACGGTGGAGCAGTGGGCACTAACGGGGGAGGTGTCCAAACCTGAAGACAGTAGGGAGGTGGGTCAACATAGAACATTTGACCTTACATTGTATTAAAAATTGTTTGACCTTGAATTTAAGACCTTGCATGTTTGACCTTGACTTAAGCTTTTTTTACCTTGAATATTTGACCTTGAGTGTTTGGCCTTGACTCTTTGACCTCAATTATTTGACCTTGAACATTTGACCTTGACAGTTTGCCCTTGAATGTTTGACCTTTAACATTTGACCTTGACTGACATGATTCTGACCCCCAGGAGGCTGTGTTACCTGAGAGCCCGGGAGGGGAGGGCAAGGCTGCCGCTGTAGGGTTCTTCTCCTTTAACTCTGTGGATGCAGACAAGGTAAGTTCTGTCTACACAACACAAAAATGTCTACAGTACTACAGCAAGGGGCTGCATGCAAGGCAAAGAAAACAGTAAAGTCTTTTGTACAATCACAGATAGTCTCAACAGGCACACTGGGTAATGGGGAAAATTCAATGCTAACTTAAAAGAGGAGTGTTGAGCTCTAGACAAATGGGTTGGTTGGCCTAAAGTTTGACCAGTATGTTAACATTGTAAAGTGAAAGGTTTTGAGATCTTGGAACTGTTGTCTGACAAGATTCTGTCCTTCCCCCGCAGACAAAAGCAGAAGAGATGACAAGAAAACGTGAACAGTTCCTGCGAACGCGGCAGAAGCGAGAAGAACAGCTGAAGGCACGACAGATGGAACGGGAGGCTGAGCTGGAGAGGGAGAGGGAGGAGAGAAGGTAAGACATTTGTTTCTTTAAGACATCACTGAAGGTAAGATATTAGACAGGTATCACTGAAGGTAAGTCTTTATGCTCAGCCTGATACAATAAGAATTTCTGAAGGAAAGAGAGAGAATGTAAGATGCATCTTCAATACATTCTTTCCTGCTTTATGCCCCTTCGGAGAAGACATCCTGAACTGAATGATTTACTTATTTTCACCTGATCATAGGTGTGATGTGCTTTTCCCAAGGAGATAGTAGTGGGGCCTTCCAATTCTAGGTCCACTAGCCTAACCATAACAGCACCTCCTTTGGAAAAGGTTTTACTACCGGCCTCCCACCCATATATTCCAAATGCTTGACCCAACTGTCTTTATACTTCTTATGGTAACATATTAGATGGTAATGGTTGTGCAGAAAGCATAGATGAGTCTAATTAATTAAGAGTTTCCCTGGCATGTTTCAGACGACGTCAGGAGGAGGCAGAACAGAGAAAAGCTGAGGAGAAGGCGAGGAAGGAGCTGATTTATCAGGAGTACCAGAGACGGAAACAGGAGCAGGAACTACAGCAGCAGCAGCAGAGGAAGGGAGCACGGCCTAAAAAATCACGCCCGAAGTCTGGGCCTCCTACTGACAGTCACAAGGGGTCATCATCTTCAGGTAAGGCCTGGGAAAAAAGGCTAGGGTCGGCAGTTTTTTCTAGGTTGGTCAGGAAACAGGAAAGACAACATTTTTTTTTTCCTGGGCCTAACTGGTTTGGTGGGTTTCTATATCAGAGGAAGGGAGCAGGGCCTAAAAAATCACGCCCCAAATCTGGAACTCCTGTAGATGCTCACCAGGAGTCATCTTCAGGTTGGTTTGTTTGTTTGTTGAAGATTTGTTGCCAACAGTTGTCAAAACTAGCGCTATTTTTTTCAACTACACAGCTTGAACTCCTATACACAAATTTCTTCTTTTTTTCTTAGGAAGAAATCTTCCAATTCTGGCCCAAATCCGTTCACATTGTAGCATTGTTTTAATGTGTTCAGAAATGGGTTGGGCTGCCATGCTATCCTGTCAAAAAGTTTTGACTGATATCTAGTTCAAGACCACTTGCCTGTCAGCTGTTGAAGGTCGTCAGTTGAAGGTTACGCTGTGTTCTTGTCCTTAGGAGGTTCCCGTCCTGCGAGTGTTGTGGAGAGTCGTGATGAGACCAGCGGCAGCTCTGGCAGCGGGAGGAAAACTCCTGACTGGGAACAGTCTTCTCAGTCATCAACCAGCGAGTATACAGGTATTTATCTTATTTTATACCTGGGTCTTGTTAGAGTTCTGTATGCTATCAGGTAACATTCCCATGGGTTACACAAGCTTCCAAAAGCTCTATAGAACAATTTGAACATGTTTCATGTCACTTTGGATGACACAGAATATACTGTGTTGTATTCTATGTGTACCCCTACCTTATTTTAAATGTCAATGTTAGAAAACCAATTGTACAACGGTTTATCACTCAGGTGTCAGATCATGGAGCTAGAAAAGGTCAATCAGCTCGAAAAATGTTCCTTGTAGGGGTCCACCCCCAAAAAAAGTCTAGGGTGAGCAGTTTTTTTCTAGGGTTGGTCTGGAAACAGGAAACATACCACATTTTGGGGTCACCTTGTAAACAGTGCCACTCATCACTCGTTCTCATTCAAATGTACAAAATGCTGTCGCCACTCTTTACGACTAGGTATGAGCCAAATCATGGACCTCATCGTTGCTTCCTTCACTTTCCCACTACACTTACTATGTTTCACGAAAAATGTACCACAAAACTAGGTTTGATTGATGACTTGAGAGAAATTATGGTCGCGGGTTGGATTTCTCCCCCTAAAAAGCGGCTGTCGCCTGAGAAGAAATAGAAACTTTAAAAAGCAACCTAAAACGTAGAAATTTGATTACGGCAGTATTTTTCTGCCTGGTGCAGTCGGATAGCCAGGCCCTCTGACTGGTCAAGTCAGATCGCTCCTGTCACTATTTCTGTACGCTGTGCGAGGTGTTTCATACCTGTCGCCAAGTTCTGTAACATCCGTTACCGCTCAAGTAAGACGGACGTGCAGTTTAGATAGAGTCACATATTAAGACAAGAAATTGCCATTTTGATGACTTTTAGCAAGTTTTCTAGGTTTCTAAGAGAAGAAGAAAAGAAGGTGTGCTGTCATTTGTAGCCACCTTCGCTGAACAAATTGTTTTACAGTAATGAATGTAACATCCGTTACCGTTGTTTTTACTTTCAATTTTAGTTTCTTCACCTGGTATATAAAAAGTCGCCCAATTTTAAAATGTCCGTACTTATGCCCCCTTGTTCTCAAAGGATGAAGATAAAAACTGCAGATCTTCTTGGAGAAATAAACAAAAACGTCCGTTTTGTAACATCCGTTACCGGTAACGGAAGTTACACCTGTAGGGAAAAGACGTAACAAGAGATTGAATTTCCCTTCCCTACGCACCATACACATAATAGTTGGAAATAAAGTAGAAAGTATGGATCCGAAGAAAAATAACCCTCTGTGGCGTCAACTAACTCAAATGTTCTACTCTTCTTTGCTTCCAAAGATATTTTTTGCTACTTCTATACACTTCACTTAGTTATCTTTATGTGTTCGATACATGTATATTTACCAGTAAATAATGGGTTGACAGAAGTACTTTCATAGATACTGACGCCTAAACTAATGGCTTTTGAAGTGATTCCATGAATACAGGCTTTATCGTACACCCAATCCATGCTGCTGTTCCAGCGTTTTTGCTGCACTAAAAATTGCATTGTTTACATATGTCTTATCTAAGTGCATAGATTTTCGGTAACTTCCCATGGCAATTAAGCTGTCCTTTTTTGGTAATCATTAATTGAGATGTTTTCCTAAAAAATAAGGTAGGTTTGGCTGAAAAAACAGATCATCAATTTTTCGACCCAAAAAATCACCATTTTGTACATTTTAATGAGAACGAGCCTCATTACATCTCAATTCCTTTCAAGCTGTTGGAAAACTGCAGGACTAATAAGAATACTGGTATGGAATGTCTGGGTGAAAACAATTTTCATGAACTAATGGTACGTTTCGTTTATTTCCAGGCCCAAAGCTGTTTGTGAAGCCGAGCACCAAGTCCAACCGCCACATCATCATCAACGCCCTGAAGGACTGCTGTCTGGCCGGGGAGGTCAACAACCAGGTCAAGGGTAAAGTGTTAGAGGTGAGAGGTCAAAGAGGGAGTTGGAGCCTTATATAATGCTTGCATGAAAAATTTTGTTTCAAATTTTTTAGAAGCAAGTTTTCGTAGGAGGGTTTGTAAACCATGGTTCACTGTTCCTTCTACTTTAAATTTTCAAACAAGCAGAGCTATGGAGGTACATTGTATTTCCTCTGTTTTAATTGAACCTTCACTCGAGTTCTGTAGTCATTGTCTGTCCTTCTTCTGATAACCAGCAGGGAAACAGATACATTGCACTGCAGCACAGGTGAACCAGTCAGAATTACCCTGAGGAAGGTGACAGATGGTCACCGAAACGTCGGGTGAATGAAAAACTAAGTCTTGGTTGTGTAAAAAGAGTCTCTTTACTCAGTGTCTTACCAACCTGATGAAACTATTCAAGAGATGTATTTTCATTTTTGTTTTATTTTCCAGGCGCTTGCGATGTCGGAGTCTAACCACTACGTGATCCTGTTCCGGGACGCGCGGTGCCAGTTCCGGGCGGTTTACTCCTACAACCCGGAGAACGAGAAAATTCACAAACTGGTGGGGAACGGACCATCAAGTATCATGGGGAAGATGATCAGCAGTCTGTACAAGTACGTACGCGCTTTTGTTTGTTTGTTTGTTTGAAGTAGATACAGCAGACCACAATACACAATCCACAAGCTTTCATGCACCACCATCTTCTGTTATAGTCTATATCGTAACTTAGTGCCTAGAAGTGGTCAACCAAGTCTTTTATTCAGTCGACGTTTTGATGACCGTCTGTCACCTTCCTCAGGGTAATTCTGACTGGTTCACATTGCACTGCAGCACAGGTGACGCTGCTACAGATGCATGCCCAAACGTATAATATTCACATACATGTATCTAGTACAAATATGTACAGGGAACTGTATCTACAATGCAGTCCCTGAGGAAGGTGACCAAAACGTCGGCTGAATGAAAGACTTGGTTGTATGAAAAGAGTCTCTTTACTCATGTTCCTAACCCTCTTATGTTATCCCTCCAGGTACAACAGTGGAGGGAAGCAGTTTGTCGGGATTCCCTCCAAAACCATGTCAGTCAGCGTCGACGCTTTAACCATCCACAACCACCTCTGGCAGAGCAAGAAGTCATCGGGGAAGTAAAGTTAACCCTCCACACGACTTTCAAACCAACTCTGAGGCAATCGTAGCGTGGCTTCGTGTTCGCAGCAAGCACGTTGGCAGAACGTACTGCACCTGCACGAAACCCGTAATGTATTGTGCATAGCACTTTGTCAGAACATCTCATATAAGGTTGTATTCGGGTAGGTAAGGTTAACATCCTGTCTGTAGTTTCCAAATGTTATGTAGGAAAAGATATCCTCTGCAACAGGCAAAATTCTGATGCAACGTTGATCGAAAATCCAATGAAAACCGTGAAAAATCAGGGTTTCGCGCAGGCGCAGTCCGTTCTGCCGACGTGCTCTCACAGCTACATACTGTACCTACAATCATGTATTTAAAAAAACAAAGCCATTTGATAAGCAAGATACATTAAATGTTAGTAAACTATGTCTTTTCAAAGGTTGCAGTTATACTGTGTTAACCATCCTCAAGCTAAGGGTGCATCTGGGTACCAAATTGTTGTTGGTCAAAGCAGAGCTTGGTAAGTTAAGGGTTAATATCCTTCTCATGCTACTGGTGCATCCTTACACACATGTATGTCAATTAAAAGGTAAAGTTGTAAAGTTATTGTGTTAAGTGTTTGATAGTTAATATTTAGGATAGTGAACAGTTCATCTTTCTTGTTCAAGTCCTCTCTATATATCTGTATCTCCCAGTTGAGATCTTCACTTATTTATTATTATTGATAGGAAAAGCTGTTATCAAGTCTTTGTTACTGAGCTCATCATCTTAGTGTGGTCCCTGCCTCTCAATGCAGGATATAGCAAATTAGACAACATTTATTGAACAAACGTCTGTTTATATAACATAAGGAAGCAATGTATTGAGTTGATTCGTCAGACAGGTTGGAAATTGATTGATAGCTGTCACATGAGTGGTTGACGTGACATCTGATTGGTCCATTTGGGATGGTTGATGTGCTGATTGGCTGTCATCACTTGATTGACAGGTTGATTGACAAGTGTCATATGATGACTGACAGCTGTCATGACAACAGCCGGCCATGAAGCTCTACATCAGAATTTTGCATTAATTTTCTTAGATTTTCTACCAATTGAGGCTTTACATTGCCATAGCAACAAGGTAGTATTTGTGGTGGAACTTTCTGTCTTTTTGAACGCCATGATATTTATAGCAGGAAAAAAAAACGGAGATTTAATAAGAAGTGCGCAGAAAGGACTGTAAGAATGCAGTGTGAACGTGCAATGTGTTGTACAAGACTTTCCACCATTTAAACACTTACATAGTGGACGTCATAATGTACAATATACTCATGCTGTATTTGATAGTTGACCACTGTATTATACACTCTTGCATTTACATTAGGAGGTTGGCACACGAAAATGTGAATCATTTGGTGTAAGTGTTCGCCTAGCTGTAAACATTTTAGCACAACGCCAATTTCCTATATTCGCTTCTCATAACATTTAGTTGTTTTTTTTAGTTCTTTAATAGCTGCTGAGATCACTAGGTGCAATTTTTTTTTGCTATAAAATTATTATTGTATAGTCTAAAATATCAAGATGTTTTTTTTTGTTATGACCATCAAAGAGAAGTTAAAGAAAGACTTAAAGTTTATTCTCAGATTTGCTGCAAGAAGGAGAGAGAGATCAAACTTGGAAAGATGCAGAGGAAAATGACAATACGTGGTGGACAAAATGCTACATTGTATATTCTGTGCCCATTTAGATATAGCACATGTATATTATCACTACTTTGTTGTGTGCAGATTGGGAGCGTTGTCTGGTTTTATAAGACAATCAACTCCCTACATTTTTGACTATAGGAAGGACTTGATGCATTTGTGTTCTAGTTAATCTAGTGTCGCTGCAATTCCCCTGTCCCGAATATGCAGATTATCTAGTAGTTACTCTGGTGTTGCTGCATTTGCCTTGTCCCGAATATGCAGATTACCTAGAGATGTGTTTTTTATATACACTGTAAGCAGAAGTATTGATGGTAAGTGTTCAGTTAGGAACTTCATCTTGTTAACTTTGTAATGCTTCATGTTGTTAGATATTAAATGCAACCACATATGGATACAGGTTAAGGATAAGACTGCATTTATAAGTCAGACGTAAAAAGCAGTGTTCGCGTTGCAGATTTTGCTGGTGGAACTCATTCTGTGGCTTCACATCTTTACAAATCACAGGACTGCATTTGTCGTCCAGAGCTATCAAATGTTACTATAAGCGTAATACTAGTAACCATAGTGTGATTTCCTTGTAAAATGGATTATATTAACGTATTTATGGCAAAGAATATTCAGCATTTTTGGCTCCTGTTCATGCCAGGCTACCCAGTAGCCTATAAGCGTGTTCTGTATATATTAGAAATGATAATCATGATTGTCATAGACATTTACAAAATATAACTTAAACTTTGTCACCTAGGTCATGCCCTTTGACCTCTCTCCAGTCATGACCTTGGCCTTTCTCAATGTTTGTGACCTTCAGCTCTAAGGTCATGTCCTGCTCTAAGGTCATGACCTTAGCAATTCGTCTCCCTGGCTTTGACTTTTGTCCCAAGGTTCATGACCTTGACCTTTGTCTCCAAGGTTATAACCTTTGACCCATGACCTCCACATGTCAGTGACTACTGTTATCAGTGTGGTTTGATGACCCCGTATTTACCAGTGAGGCTGAGAGGTGTGAGAAGAGATTGTTGCATTATCCATTAGCTTCTCTGTATTATTGAAAAAAAGTCATCAATACATCTTGTTGGAAGCAAGGAGTTGTGTTTTTTTTGCTTATTTGTGTACTATGTTGACACTATTTCTAGGCTCTTCATAGCTGTTCCATGTAATAGTTGTACCATATTCAACTTGGTGGTATTCAATGACATGTATTTCTTTATGATAGTGAGAATTATTATGTTTATGCAAGGAAAACACATTGTTTTTGCTCTGTTTCCTCTTCTTCTTCTCCAAATCAATAAGGTCAATGACCTGAACCAGACATCTGTCACCATGGTAACTAGGTATCTTATTTCCTTGTTAACAAAAACTCCATGACAATTTTTCTCAAATTTGCAGTAGATTTATTGTGGCTTTGATTGTCATGTAAAAGTACAACATTTCACTCCGTTGTCACCAAAACTTAACGATATGCAAATCCTTATGTCATAAATGATATGATAACATCACATGCAAAATTTCACATTATCAGGTATTAGACCTTCCATAGCAAAAGATGGAAAATGACCAGCATATACAGAATATTATTTCAAGGCCATGCCAAAAATGATATGTTGTCCTAAAAATCTATACACAAAACTGGTGGGCCCTAGATAGTTGTGCAACTCCATTTAGGCCAATCCCAGTTAATATCTTGTTTTTCAAATTTCAGAACTTTATGCTACACTGGAATACATGTATTATGAACTAGCTTTCAGCACAGGGTGCCATCCGTTTTTGTACTGGGATCAGTACACTCATTTGCCCAAAGTCTTAGGAAGAGTATGGGAACCCCAGCATACTAATAGGATGGCACCCAGGCTAAGATTTTGTGTAGTACTCTTTTACTATCAATTTTGACCAAGGCCCAGAGGTAAACCCACCACCTTTATACAGAAACACTAATGAAACAGCTGAAGGAATGTGGCCATATCACAATAACAAAAGTTTAAATCTGACATAATATTCATCTTGATATAGCAGCATAACAATCACAACATCCAAACTAATAATTTTTCTCTGGATTATATAGAAAAATTATCAATGTGCAGCATACATATAAGATTTCTCGTTATTTTTATATAGTATAGTTAGCAAAATAGTGAACAACTGACTTTTGCAACAGCTGTTGCTTTGTACATGTTATAATGGCACTATTAAAGCATGATTGTCATAGTTTGCATAAGCATGGCATAAAGGCAATGCTAAAAATGCTTTCAAGTTTGTAAGGCATTTGATATGTTACATTTGCTCATAATTGATATAAAAGTTGCACTCTTATATTTTGTAAACCTTTATATAAGCAACAAAGTTTCTGCATCATGACATGGTTATGAGCTCCATGGTTATGAGATTACCTATATATACTTTGATATTGAGCTACGCTGGTCAATATGACACCAGAACCAACCTATATACTAGTAGTTGGAAAAATCTGCAGGCCAGTCTTTCCAGTTGCAGGCCTTACCTCTGTAGTCTGTAGTGTTAAAACCTGCTATGTTGCTGGAAAGTCAGCTATAATAGGTGCAGATTGTTACATTGTACATGTCATGTAAGCCGTTCTGCACAGACTATCCTAGCTTACTAAAGTGAGTTAGTCCAGTACTTTAGCCAGCATGCTGATGGCCCTCTGTGACCCCGGTGTTGTCCCCAGGTAGGTGGTACAGGCTGCCTTCATGTGGCCACGGTTTATCGGGTGGATGTACTTCAACTTGTCCAGCTCCATCCTAATCAGGCATAAAAACAAGCAACCTATGAGGACTTGTCATCAGGCAAAAAAATATGCAACCTATGATGTCTTGTCATCAGGCATAAAATACGCAACCTATGAGGTCTTGTCATCAGGTATAAAAATATGCAACCTATAAGGTCTTGTCATCAGGCACAAAACCATGCAACCTATGTTTCCTTGTCATCATGCACGCAAGTATGGAACCTACGAGGTCTTATCACAAGATAACTAATTAAGTACAAAAACAAACGTTGTTTTGCAAAGTCAAATGTATTTTTCTGTCTTAAGATTATACTAAGGCATTGATGGCACTTTTTTATTTTTTTTTATTTGACCTTGGGAGTGCTACATTTGCCCTTGACCTTTGTCCCACCTGTAGAAGTCTTGTTTGGTTCTCCTGTAGTCTTCCCTCCGTCGCTCCTCTGCTCCAGTCCCGTACTTGGCCTTCAACTCTTGCCTAAGACGGAACGTAGAAAAAAATAACATTCAGAATACAGACACAATACACAAATGTTGCAAAAGGAAAGCCCCTATCATTATAAAAGCATGACGGAGAATAGCAAAAAATACTGTCACTTTACCGTTGCAATGCTGTTTAAAACATTTGTGTTTATTTTTCGACAAGAAACTTGCTCATTCACAGTCACAGTTTTCTGTCCAAGTGAGTACTAGTAACTTGTGCTACAGCAGACACCTTGTGCTGTTGGGTTACATTATGTAGCAAGTTATATGAAGTGGCTAGTGAGAATAAACAGCCGTAATTTGTTGGGCTTGACCATGTGAAGGTAAACATGCAGTTGCCTTGAAAGTTTTTTTTTAATAATCTATTTTGAACTACTTTATATCATCAGTCAATATACCAAGAAGGTTCAAAATCTGACCTAAGTTTAGGAACCTCTCCATAGTTGATGATTTCTTTCCTGGCGGTTTCCGTCTTGCTGTAGTTGATTTTAGGGAACATGGGGAGGTGTGTGCTGCCTTCCTTCGGCGGCCGGGTGTCAGGCTCGTAACTTCTCCTCGCACTGAAAACACAAAAGTTTTTCTTTCTTAAGGCGTAATCAGGCCTTTTTAGTCTTCGTAATCCATAGGCAGCCGTCCAAAATCAAAATAATCAATTGGTTTAATTTTGATTCAGTCTTAATTGCAAATTCATGCATGGGGGCTAATTGCAAGTGCATTCAAATGCATTGTGATGAAATAATATTATAATGAGCGTAAAAAAAATTAATAATCCTCAACCAATGCTAACTAGTTGGAAATTACAAATACACATTTGCATTCGTTGGTTTGCATTCTAAAATGACATTTCACTTACGTTGGAGCGGGCTCTGTCATTGGTCGTGACGTCATCATGGGTAGCATGACGCTGGAGGGAGAAAGGATACTTAAGGTTATGCAAATTACTAATTGATGCAATACCATAGTTACTTAGATAGCATAAATGATACATAAAATCACACTACCAAAATAAGTGAAACATTAGTGTAACCTTAATATCATTGCTATCGTGCAATTAAATGTGCAAAGATTGAGTGTAACAAGCCGTTCGGTGTGACTGACAGCTAGCTGCCGCCGCGCCGCGTGCCTGCGAAGCTGGTGTGTTACGCCTAAAGGCGGTTACCGCCTAGACTGGCTACACAGATACAGATACAGAACACAAACGCTTGAACGTTTGAATGAAGTTAAGTTGGACTTACTGGTCCATCCTCCAGGACACTTCCGGGTCAGTGAGCCCGATGGCCGTCTGTCTGGTGTTGTAGCCGTGACGGACGTCTTCTGGCTACGGACAAACAAACAAACAAACAAACAAACAAACAAACAAACAAACAAACAAACGAATGAATGGACAATAAGATACATCACCACTGATACAGGATAAGATAACTTATGGCCTTTATTTATCATGTTTACAGAAGAAAAACATATTGTTTTTGCTCAGTTTCTTCTTCTTCTCCAACCAAACAAATAAGGTCAATGACCTGAACTAGACGTCTGACACCATGGTAACTAGTGTTTGGTTACATCATGTTGCAATTAAAGTTTAAAGCAGGAGTGATTTAGACTCCTGTCACCATATCTATGACCATATGCGAAGGTAAGCATTATGCCTTTGCTTTGCAAATGTTACCCATCTAGTTTACTTTGCCTCTTTGTAATGAAAGATTCAAAAGTACAGAAGTATAATAACAGAAATTCCAGCCCTACTTCGGGCACACAAAACTACCGCTCATTGCTGCCACCTACCAGATCGAGCAGGAACTGCACGCTGTAAGTGGAGTAGTAGGGCGCCAGGCTGTTCCATACAAACGGCCGGTACGGTTGTCTGCGGGAGAAAAAATACCGATATCAATATGATCGATAACTACCGAGTCCCATCGATAGATACATATATTACATCCAACACAAACTCTGGAAAAGCAGATTGTGCTTTGTAGCTGCCTATATATAGCTATAGTTCTATAAGTATTTGCGAAGAGGATGTAGGACTCAGGAGCTGTACATAAGGTTTGGTAACCAGGCTAGCGTATTCGAGCAATTCTTCAATCCATAACCCCTTGGAAAGGCCCAGGAACCTAAGATATTGATGCGTTACTCCTTGAGTGATGTCTTTCTCTCTTTCTTTCTTTATTTCTTTGTCTCTCTCTCTTTCTCTCTCTCTCTCTCACACACATACACATGTACACATTGATGCGTTACTCCTTGAGTGATATCTCTCTCTTTCTCTCTCTCTCTCCTCTCTCTCCCAGTCACGCTCTCGTCTTCGTCTTGAGTGCTTTTACGAAAAACTGTTAACAAACAACTAGCTTTTACTCACAGCTGGGGCCGCTCTATGTGCGCCGTGATCTTCCTCAGACTCGTCTTGACTCTCCTCAGCTCCTCCTTCATAAACTCCTTCGTCTTCCTCTCACGGGACCTTCATTAAAAATGTTAAGAAAGTAAATTATACAACAAGAAGACATAATTTAGCCAATTGCTACACGTTCTTGTTTGTTTTCACAAATAAACCATTTGAATGATTGATTGATTGATTGATTGATTGATTGATTGATTGATTGATTTGTGATCTATTAAGTTTTTAAATGTGTGTTAACTGTATTTTTCCTGTACCATGTACATTTGTATTATGCCATTTAAATGTATGTGTTTGACTTTGAGCCTTGGAATAGAAGACCAGCAGGGCTAAAAGGTTTCGAAATGAATGAATGAATGAATGAATGAATGAATGAATGAATGAATGAATGAATGAATGAATGAATGAATGAATGAATGAATGAATGAATGAATGAATGAATGAATGAATGAATGAATGAATGAATGAATGAATGAATGAATGAATAAATGAAAATGACCTTGAGTCCGCAGCTGTGCGTGTCCTGGGTGACCTTGGGGTGTAAGACGTGCCCGGATGTACGGAGCGGAAACCTTGAGGAGACGTGTAGCCGGCAGTCTTACCGTCCTCCTTCTTACCTACTGGGGGGTCTGGAAGGAAAAGTCAAGACTATCAGAGATGCAGTAATCCATAGGCAGCCTCCCCAAAAATCAATGTAATAAATAGTACATTAGCCGCAAAGCGTAAAGTCGTAATCAGCTCTGAGACTTTAATGTAATTCGTATACGTATTAATGACAATCAGAGATGGCAGACTTCACACCCTCACCCATACCCTTTCAGTCTACAGACAAAAGGGTACTGGGTTAAGTATACTAGTATATAACTACATACACAGGTAAATTTTGTACTTGGTGAATCAGTCTCATAGATTATATATAGTTATATAGCAGTAGCTGGCATACGTTGTACAGTCAGTTCTTTAACTTTTCT